CTGAAATTACAATCCATACAAGTTGTACTAGCAAGCACAGTAAGCCAATGCCTTGCGTAACTGTAGCACGAGAAACTTTTTTTTGCAAACTGTACACACTGTAGAAAAATCCTTCCGTTAAACAGTATACAAAGTACATGTAGCAAAGCAAGTACCAATATATTTTTAAATATCTGCAACCAAGTCTCCATTAAGAGACAATTTTTTACTTCATAGTTCTTAACAGCAGCTTAAAGTAGAGACAACAAGAAGAAATTTCTCTATACTGTGACACATTTGCAGCTTTAAACTTTGCAAAGAAAAACAAGCAGAGAAACTCTCTCCAGTTGTTCAAGGGAGATCAATAAGCAAACTTGCATATGAAACAATATTGTCAGTCTCTTTAATGGTTTGAAAGAAACTTCCTTGAAGGAACTGGTTTTAAGTTAAGCTTCAAAAATTCTCAGTATTTAAAGTAGAGCTACTTTACCTTTAAGTGCTGTTTCTGCAGATGGCTCAAATGCTGCTTCTTTAATTTCCTGGCCAATTTTTCCACGCCTTACACCCGTTCTTACTCTGGTAGCATAACACTGTTAAATTCAGAAATGATATAAGAAAGATTCAATGAAACAGACTAGAATAAATTTCTTACCAGTTTACTTGCTACACTCAAAATTCCTACATAGTCTCTTATTTATCTGTGCTTACCTCCCAAAGATGTGAGGCAACTGTGCTCAAGAAAAACAACTGAACCTTAAAGTTTAGGAAGCTTTGTGAATGTTCACATATTCTAGAGGTACAGAACCAATGCAGTCCATTTCAGAAGCTGGTTTTCAGTTTGCATTTCTTCTACTCTAGTCCTACTTTGCTTTCAACTCTAGCCTTAATTTAGAGAACAAACCTTGAATGAAGGCCTGTAAAATTAAGATTTTTTTAAGGCTGACAAGCTCCAAATAAATATAGCATGCTGCTCAAAGTTTTAGTAAGCTGCAGGAGCAACACAGAATAAAGTTGTATTTAAGTTCAGAAACAACTTTAGAAGTTTCCTTACCATTATTTCCAGCAATTTCCAAGTTATTACACAGACACCTGAGCAACCAAGGGCTCACTGCAAGCTCTAAGTTTAACACTAAAGCCTGAAATCTACAAGCATTGCTATCGTCAGCCATTAGAGCAATAAAATTCAGGAAGTTTATATTAGCACTTCACTTTTGTTGTGTTTTGCATCTAATGAAATCTAGCCCAACGCTGTAATTAAGTAGCACTCGCCACAGAAATAAAAACACCACAAAAAAACCAAAATAACATGCACACACACAAAAAAACCTCCAACACAACTACAAACTTACAATGCTTAAACAATTTTCTATTCTTAAGAGGAAAACACAAAAGGAGGTGAAGAACTTGCCACTGGCACTTTCACTAAGATGGTGAAAAAAGAGGAATACCTCCTAACAGGTATGAGTTACCTGGGCAGAAAGCAAAAATTAAACGTCTGCTCTCAACAAAGAATGAGCAGACAGTGTCTTAGGATGGTAACAGTCCAGTTGCAGTTCCATTTTTTTTTTAATTAAGTAACACTCTTCCTGCAGTAAATTAGAGCAGGTTCATCAAACAAGCAGAAGGCTCATGCTCATTCAGAACAGGTGCTCCATGCAATGCAGGGGTTTTTTGGCAAAACTCTAAACCCTTTAGAATATCAGCAGTCAGAACTACTAGAAAGAAAATTACCTTACCTGGTTAGGCTGCCACAGCCTGTATGCTTTTATACTGGAGTTCCTCAAAGCTGGGGAAGCCTGAGTAATAGTGGGGCGGATTGTCTGGCATGATAATGTCCTCAGACATACTAGCCTTGCAGCCAGCATGGTTGCTTAGATATTTTAATACACTCTGTTCCTGCAAGTACACGAGAAAATATGCTTTACTATTTTGTTACATGGTTTTCAGACAACAAGGTACATTTACTACTTATTCTGAACTATACTACAGCCTGTAATAGAAGTAATGTTATCACTAGAGTACTGTAGTCAAGAGCCAGAACCTTCTCAAATATGCAATTTAACTTTGTTCTACCTATATTTGTCTCCCATTTCCATCAAAGACTTATCTCTCACAACTTACCTGAAAACAGGACATACCACTTCTCATACATATAAATCACATCAAGACCCTTTACATACTTACATTTGAGTTACTTTGGCAACTAACTTTCCTATTAAGTAAGACATAACACTGCATAACTACTCTGCTCTCCAAACAGATGTTCAAAAAGATGCTCCAAATTTACGTAAACTTCAGCTAAGTATAAACCCAAATGAGTAAATATCGTAATATGTGCAGTAGAAAGAGATTTAGAGAGGTTCTAAGGTGTCCTTTAAAGAACTGATTAAATTTATAGACATGGCATTCAGTCAAGGTCACAGCCCAGAACACAAGTTCAGGTCATCATGTGCAGTTTTGACCAGAGAACAATGACACCACTCATGGGCAAATCGACAGCGTAAGGAAACCCCAGCCTGTGTATTCGATAAGTAGTATTAAAAAATGCTAACTAGTGCACACGTTACACGTAAAAAAAGCCAAGTCCTTGTAGCTACACATACTTTGATTATGACTATACACAACCTCCAGTATCACAGGACACCCCAACTACCAATACATTTTTTCAAACAACTGTTCAGAGATTACATGTATAGAATCCAATATAACTGAAGAGCATTCTAAATAAATGTAACTTCAAACATGCATGAGAAACGAGCGCTCACAGCACTGGGCAGCTAACATTAACCACAAAGAAGTGAAAGTGAGAAAATAATCCCACTGCTAGAAAAAGTCACTTTGCTTTAAAGCTCAATTATAAAATCCTGCTTTTCCAAGTAGGAGTACTTTCAGTGTAACCTCGCTTTTCCACTGGGATGATACAGTTTGCTGGAACTTACAGTGACAACCGATTTTTATTTTTTTGAAGCTGGTATTTGAATCAACACAACTTGAAGCATTAGATAAAGAACAAGGATGAACGACAAGAGAGCGTTAAAAAGAAAACAAAACAACCGCAGCACTCCAGCACAAGAGCTGGCAGGCACAGCAGCCAGGAGACGCTGCTTAGTCACTGCTGCACCAAAGCACGGGGAGACCCGCCCCAGCGGCCCGACAGACCGGCCAGCGCCCACCTTAGGCC